CCGTACTTTAGGTCTCAGGGTCCCCTACCCATCCGAACACTCCCTCCCACCCTTTTCCCCAGCACTAATCTCTGGAAGAACCTTCTTTGCTTACCTACCTATTTTCCTCCCTCTCCCACTCTGTTCCTTCCCTCCCACACTGTTCCCTCCCTCCCGCTCTCTTCCCTCTTTTGCTCTTGTCCTCCTTTTCTTCCCATTGAATGGGGCTACAGGAATGCAAGGATGGTCCCTTTCACAGCCACATCCTGGTGCCTACTCTGAACACTGAGACAACTGCCTAGCACACAGTAGGTGCTCAAACATTCAATGAAGGAAAGAAACCAACCCCCTTTGATTCCACAGTATTTATTAATTCCATCTTCAATAAAAATCATTTTTAAAAATCAACTGAAAATTCTTCTCTAATAAATAACATACCTGTAATTTACAACATTTTTGGATTATGCAAATTAACCCAATCTCTGGCAGATTTCTGGAGGGAATCCAGCCTGGAGAGTGGCTGGGCCCCAGGGCAGGAGCCCTGGCTCTGCCCCTGGGTATGCAGTGGGTCAGTAAGTCACACCCCGCATGGCAGCTATGGTAGAGGTGAGGCGGCGGGGAAGACCTTTGCTGGCCTGTCTGTAATCCTCAGGCTTGGTCTTCAAGAGCGTCACTATGTTGTGGAGTGTGCGGGATGGCTGCAGGCCCAGGGCGTCCATCACGTTGGTCAGGTAGTCTGTGGGTGTGGAGGGGAGATGTGCTCAGCACCAAGTGGGACGGAGCCCCAAGGTCCCCCAGCCCCTAGCACTCGGCGTCTGCTCTGTCCTCAGCAAGCAGGCCTCAACTCATGGTTTTTCCTGCAGGGTCAAGCCTGGTTGTGAGCTTGGTCTGGGTCCAGGAATTCTAATAACTACCCAGCATTGAAGGGAAAAACAATATACTAAAGCAAGTGACCACACAGACGTATTTGGGTATACAATATACCAAAACAGCACGAAGGAAAAGGAAGACACAGAGAGGGGCACATGAGTACAGACCACAGGACAAATGCTTTTACACATACAATGCTGCATTATCAGTGGTAACCAAAAAACCAAACCAAACTCACTGCCGTCGAGTCAAATCCGACTCACAGCAACCCCTCCTTGGGTCTCTGAGGTAGTATCTCTATGGAAGTAGATTGCCCAGTCTTCCTTCCGAGGAGTGGCTGGTGGGTTTGAACTGCAGTCAAATGCCTTAGACACTATGCCGCCAGAGCTCCTAACAAATATCAATCCATGGGTAAAGAGATGGGTAGACAGGCTGAATGATCAGGTATGTCTAGGCAAAAGGGAAGATACCCATGACCATATATAAGGTTGGCAGATGATTTTTCTACATATGTATCTGTAGGTGCTGTGAGAATGTCCACACATATAATAGCACTAACAAGGGGCAAAGTTATGATAACTTCTTGGCCACAGCCAATCACCCCGAGGGAGCAAGTTGTTGGACCTATGGGCTCAGGACCATGGTCACAGGGGACATCAAACTCAATTGGCCTAACATACTACACAAAAACATTGTTCTACATCCTACTTTGGTGAGTAGCAACTGGGGTCTTAAAAGCTTGCAAGCAGCCATCTAGATGCAACAACTGCTATCTCCTCATCTGGACCAAAGAAGAATGAAGAAAACCAAAGACTCATGGAAACAATTAGTTCAATGGACTAACGGACCATGTGAACCTCAGCCTATATGACCATGAGACCAGAACTAGATGGTGCCTGGCTACCACTGTCAATCACTTGGAAAGGGATCAGGGCAAGAAATGCTGGATAGAGTGGGAGAACAATGTGGACCAAAACTCACAATCATTAAAAAAAAGACCATGTTTACTGGTCTGACAGAGCCTGGTACCTCAAGACTATGGCCGCTACATACCCTTCATAAGGCCTGGAATTGAACTCATTCCTGTGGCTTCTAACCAAACAACTGACAGGCATATGGGGTCAACATTTCCATCAGGTAGATACACTCCTTAGAATGATCAATCATGGGAGAACAGATGGAGTGTTTGCACAGGGAGACAGCTCAGGGGGTGGGAATGCATAGGAAAGAAGGACACAGGGAAGAGGTAACTACAGGGAGGAAGTGGGAAGAGAGCTGTGTAAGAACTGCTGTCTGGAAAATGAATTTGTTCTGTAAACTTTCACCCAAATCACAATTAACAAAAAAAAAAAAAAAAAATTTTCTTTGTTGGTTGCCAGGGGTGGGAGGGGAGGGGAGGGAACACTGCAAAAAAAAAAAAAAAAAAAAAAGAACTACCCAACATCACCCCTTACACACACACACACACAGTATGCACACATACAGATGGCATGCACACACTCAGGCATGCACACACACACACTCACACACAAGTTTATGCAAATGTACACACATAAGCACATCCATAGACATGCACATACGCACTGATTTATACACACATGTTCATGTACTTGCACCCAGATACACACATGCACACACACTCAAGGCATGCACACAGCCCTCTCCAGGCAGCAGGCTGAAGGACCAGCTAAGCACACCAAAGCTCTATTCTGGAGGTTCCTGGGTGCCCGGCCCCGCTCCCAGTGTCCTCCACTGACCACAGGGAGACCCCAGGGGTCAGGAGACCAATAAGCTGCCGCCAAGCACTTCCCACTGAGACCTCACCAGGCCAGTTTCTGAGGCACAGGCCGCTACCACACAAGGTCCCCAGACCTCCCAGATGACAATCCTGGGGCACTTTTCCCGCCCTCCCCTGGCCGAGTCGCTGAGGATTCCCAGGAGAGAGAGGGTCCAGGGTTCTGTAGCACAAAGAACAGCCCGGCAACCTGACCCCTAGGCAAGTGTGGGAGCCACCGTGGCGCAGCCGGGTGTGGCCACAGTGAGGTTCTGCAGCCCCATCTGTGTGTGCAGGCAGTGCCCAGGCAGCAGGGGTCAGAGGAGTCAACGGGACAAGGACGTGAGGGCAGCTGACGGGGGCAGGGGACCAGGAAGTGCTGCAGCCCTTCCCTCCTCCTTCCTGGGTGGGGCCAACCCAGGCCCACAGGAAGCATTCTGCCCCTACCTCCCTCTTCCTGCTCTAAGGACAGAAGACAGTACCATCTGGAGCCCCGTGTTCTTTTCTTTTATGGAAATACATATATATGTTATATATAAAGAAAACAGTTACCATTTTAACCATTTTCAAGTATAATTCAGTGACATTAATTACATTCACCATCCTGTACAACTCCCCTTAAGGAGTCCCCAAGTCCCCCTCTGCCCAGCCCTGGGGACCACTACTCAACTTCCGTCCTTATGCACTTGCCTATTGGGACATTTCATTTAAAAGGGATCATACAGTATCTGTGCTCTGACTTGATCATACAGTAATTCTCACGTTAACTTTCTATGGAACCACCGAACTGTTTTCTGTGCTATTAGACCACTGTGTATCCCTCTGAGCAATGGATGAGGGTCCCAACTCTGCACATCCTCGCCAACACGTATGATTTTCCATGTTGCTGGTATGAGCCATCCCAGGGGATGGAGGTGGTTTCTCACTGCGGTTCCTCATTACTTTGTGATTACTGTCTCGGTTATTCTCTTGTCTCTGACTGGCCTGCAGCACCAGAGAGGCCTGGTATCTCTCCTTGTTTGTTTGTGTGTGTGTGTGTGTGTGTGTGTGTGTTCTGAGGCCTGGCTCAGGGCAGGGCCCCTAGGAGATTCCCGCTCCATCCCAGCTGGCTGGCTGATTGACACCCAACTCAGAAAGAGTTGCTCCCCAGGAAGGGCAGCACTGGTCAGTCAGGGTCCTGTCTTCTTCCCAGGTTCATCCATAAAACCGTGAGCTCTACTAGGCTAGAGGCCAGGCACTGCAAATTGAGAGCCCCTGGTCCACCATGTGCAGTGGGTAAGGCATTTGGCTGCTAACCAGAAAGTCAGCAGTTCAAACCTACCAGCTGCTCTGCGGGAGGAAGATGAGGCAATCTACTAACATAAAGATTTATAGCCTCGGAAACCCAATGGGGGTCACTATGAATTGGAATCGACTCTATGGCAGTGGGTGGGTGGGTCTACCATGTGCAGTGGTTAAGGCATTTGGCTGCTAACCAGAAGGTTGGTGGTTCAAACCCACCAGCTACCCTGTGGGAGAAAGATGAAGCAACTAACTTCTGTAAAGACCTACAGCCTTGGAAACCCAACGGGGTCCCTATGAGTCAGAATTGATTCAATGGCAGTGGGTGGTGGTGGTGGGTCTACTGTGGCATTTTTTGTTGGCCAGCAAAGTGTTTGCTTTGTTTTGTTGTAATGCTTCATTCCATTCTTGAGGGTGGACTTGTATTACCACAGACCTCACCACCCTCTATTGTCTTACACCTCGGCAGCTTTTCACACATTAACATCCTGCCCTTACCTTCCACTTTACAGTGTAAGCTCACTGAGGACCAGAACCGATCACCACTTCTGGTGGCTCTGGCCTCCTACACTCTGGTGGGCACAAGGCAGAGGCTCAGTCAGTGCTGAAGGGATGAATGAATGAATCCGGAGGGGCACTTAGCAGGGAAGGTGAAATAATGTTGACAATTGACATCGGGGGGCAAGCCCCAATTCCCCTTCACTCTCTAGTTCCAGCTGTTTCTCTCCCCACAGATCCTGCCTTTGCTGACAGGGGACCCCCAATGAGCACCTGAGCCTCCTTGTGTCCCTTCTCTGAATGCTGGGCCCAGTGGCCTGTCTGAAAGCCTGCTGCTCCTGAGACCTCTGCCGATGAGACCAGCATGGGTTGGGAAGCCAGGACTGCTGGATCCTAGGCCTGACTCCACTACCAACCACCCTGGAACCCCAAGGAAAGTGCCTCACTCTCTGTCTCCTGCAAAGGCAGAGGCAGGAGTTGAGTCTGGCTCTGGCTGGGTCTCTGGGAGCTTCCCTTTAAGGCTCCTACCACCCTCTTCCCGACCACCCTGAGAGCTGCCTCAGAATCAACAGCAGGAGTCCAGCAGCCTGGAAAGACCACCCCACCACCTGCCAGCAGTGCCCCATGCTGAGCACCACTCGGCAGTGGGGACCAAGAGTGAGGTGCGTGGATAGGAGCAGGCAGGACAAGTCCCTCTCATCTGAGAGGCAGGCTACTGTTCCAATGGAGACCATCATGGGATCCAGTCATGTGGCCCTGCTATGCAGCTGCTCTGTGCCTCTGGCTCCTTACCTACACAGAGACAGGACCTACTCACATGGGAATTTTGAGGATTACATAAGACTGGTCAGCACCTGGCATGCCTGGTATGCAGTAAGAACTTAATAAATATTCATTTTAATCATTACTATGCAAATGAGGCAGAAGGCAAGCTCTAGGCAGCAGCTAAGACCGTATTACTCATTTCAACTAATTGCACTGAGGAGTCCTACTTCTAAAACCCAGCCACTGAACACTGTCTGGAACACAGTCCTACTGGACACATGCAGTCACCATGACACAGAGCTGACATGATGGCAACTTGTCGATGTCACGGAAAGTCCCTATGTGGTCCTCAACCTCGCAGCCCATCAAAACACAGATGCCTGGACTTCCCTCCAGCATCTCGGGGAACAAGGCCTGGAGAATCTGCATTGTTTCCAAGCTTCACAGCCAAATCCAGAGCTGATGTTACAAGCATTGGGTTAAAAGGCAGTTGGGATGGGTGCTGGTGGCTGATGCTATGGGTAAGAGCCACCTGCCCCTCCTGTGGGAACCTACCAATGTCAGTGGCCAGCTGCTTGGTGGAATGCGGGGTCAGCTCAGGGATCTGAAGGATCACGTCACAGTAGGTCTGCATTGTGGCCCTGGCGATGGAGACCAGCCAGTTGTCAGCCATGTTGTCCAACTCGGGGAGTTCATCGCCTGGAAAGGGAAAGCAGGAGGTGAGCAAAGAAACACAGAACCTGCTTGGGAAAAGTCCACTCAGTTCTTACTGAGCCCTGCTGGTGACCTGGCCCATGACAGGTGCCGCATGCACAAACATGCCAGGAAGTTCAAGGCCTGCATGGGAGACACAGGAAACAAGGAACAGTAAAATCTTAGGCCAACTGGTACTAGTGCAACGAGGAATCAGAAAAGGGAGCAATCAGGTGAGTTTGGGTAACTGAAGAGGCCTCGAGGGCCTGGGAATTACATTCAGCTACACAGGCCAGTGGGACTTCTGCAGACAGAGAGTAAGAAGAAGGGCCGGAGGGAGACCCAGGCAGATGGGGGCCAGGCCCCAAAGTCAGAAGGAGGGAGAGTTGGCGCAGGTGGCTTCCTTGGAGGCTGAAATGGCAGTGGTCAAGGCACAGGCATCAGATCAGAATCAAGACTTGAGTTCAGGGTCAATTCCATCGCTAACGAGTTACCCAAACCTCTCTGAGGCTGTTTTGTTCATCTGCAAAGCAGAGGTGACAATGACCCTTCCTTTACAGGTCTGCTGGGGAATGACATTAGAGAGCGCACATGAAGCAGCTGGCATGGGCCCACCACACACTTAATGCTTGACGTGTGGGAGCTATTGGTGATGTCATAGTTAAGGGGGTGAGGGGAGGACAACACAGAACAGCGGGAAGGCATCAGGAGGGAAGCATGGGTTGAGGGGGCACCCTGAGAATCGTGTGGATGCCAACTTGTAGGGACAGGAAGCAAACGCTGGTTCCCAGGAAGGCTAAGCCATGAGAAGACTGTGTTGGGGAGCCAGTCAGGTGATGGGGGGACCAGAGCAGCCACCCAGAAAAGAGAAAGAAGGGCCCGACCTCCTAGGGAAAGAGCACCTGAGAGCAGGTATAGAAAAAGGATGAATCAGAGCAACATTAAAACAAACAAAAAACAGCAGGGGCTATGCAGTGAAAAATAATACATTTAGAAGATGAGCGAAATACTACGACCATAATTTTATGCAAATAATGCATGTTATCATATATTTCTTTGCCAACCGCACAAACAAACTTACTGAGGACGATTTCAATTCATAGCGACCTCTCCTTGGGTTTCCGAGGTGGTATCACTACAAAAGTAGACTGCCCAACTTTTTTTTTTTATTTAATAGCAACATGTAACAAAAATTAGTACAGCACACTTGCAAACTATGTGGGGAGTGGGCAGTTGATAAAAAAGTATGATGCATTATTTGCATAAAAGTACAGTACTACTGTTACCACTGCTACTACTGATGAGGCTGGGAGGGTTCAGAACATAAAGTTACACGTAAGGCACCATCTGCACATGGACCGGAGTCGGAAGCACACGTGGGAAGACGGAAACACCAGTGTGCTCAGTGTGGGGACACGGTGACGTTTTTTCTTCTTAAACTCTGATCTTAATTATTTTATGTACTATCTGTGGAAGAAACACAAACTAGATGGTTAAAGACAAGGGGGCGTGGTGACGAGTGAGCACGGGGATAACGGCAGTCTGGTCCCACACTGAACCTACCAGCCTGGTCAGGAACGGCCAGAAACGCAGCCGAGCAGGGAGGCTGGTGTGAGGGAGAAGCTGTGTTCCCGCGGAGTGTGACTTGAGGGCAGAATACCCAGGAAGCCTGCACATAAGGGACCAGGACGCAGAGCTGAGAGTCGTCAGAGATGAAAACGGACGACATCAGCATGAACTAACGAGCAAGAGACTGAGGAGACACCCAGGTTGAGGGGGACGAGGCGGAAGAGGCACCCACCCTAGACACAGGAGGCATGGGCACAAGACCAATTTCCCGAGGGCCTGCCAGGTCCCGCATGGCCTTAATGCACTCAGGCCAGGAAGGAAGTGAGGCCGGTGCCAGAGCCAAGACCCGCCTGAAGAGAAACGGGGGCACAGAATCAGGGCAAATATCTCCACTCCAAGCTGCAAAGGAAGGGCAGGGACAAGTGGGCTGTTTGCCTGGTGCACAGGGAAAAGGCTCTCCAAGCAGTGAGCACAAAAATAGTTAAGATTTTTGTTTCCATGATAAACCCACCATTGTTGTTGTTGTTGTTGTTATGTGTCAGGTCCGACTCATAGCGACCTCTCCTTGGGTTTCTGAGGCAGTATCACTACGGAAGTAGATTGCCCAACCTTCCTTCCCAAAACCCAGCATATATGAGATACATAGGAGCCCTGGTAGCACAGTACCTAAGGGATCTGACTACTAACCAGAAGGCTGGTGGCTCAAACCCACCAGCCACTCTGCAGAACCAAGACTGGGCAATCTACTTCCATAAAGATTTACTGCCTCGGAAACCCAATGGGGGTCACTATGAGTCAGAATCAACTGGACAGCAGTGGGTTTGGTTTTTTTTTTTTTATATGAGACAATCCAGCTTATGACAAACTACACATGTGGGTCTAGTCTGGTTGCATGGAGTCTGTATCTTGTTTCTTCTGCTCAATAATGACTCATCAATGTCATCATGTTAGCTGTAGTCCGTTCGCTGTCAATACTACATACGATTTCATTGCATCACCATGTCATAATATGTGTCCCATGTTAGTGTTGACAGGCATCTGGGTCACTTCCAGATGGAGGCTCTTACCAACCAAGTCACTACGGCCATACTTACAAATTTATATGGGGGCACATAAAAAGAGTTTCTAGGACATGTATTGAGGAGTGAAACTGCTGGGCCAAAGGGTGGCACACTGTCACCTTTATGAGAAAATGCCACACTGTTTTTCCAAAGTGGACACACCAGTTTATGGTGGTAGGCGGCAGCTCTCTAGTCACTTCCTTTTGTATTTATTTACATGCATGATGGTTTTTTAAATGCAATCACACTGTCTATATTATCTCACAACCTGCTCTTCACACTTCACATGCTAAAGCTGTCTCTCCAAGTCAGTAAATCTTTTCCAGTATCATTTTAACAGGTATCCAGCATTTCACTATATAAGTGTGCCAGGATTTTTAAACCAGCCTCTACTGTTTGACACTTACTTTTCTTTCCAGTAATTTGCTTTTATAAACCATGCTGGGACAAACATGTCTACAGTTACAGTCACAGTTATTTCATTAGGAAAATTGTGTAGCAGTACAACTCCTGCTTGAGAATGTATGCGTCTTTCAGTCTTTTGATCTCATGTCAAACAGTCCTCCAGAAACTCAAGCAGCGTAACTTAAACTGCTCTCCTCCATGGCTGCCAGGTGGCGTGGAATCACAATAAAATCCTCACCCACACCCAGTTTGGTGGGATGTAAAATGGCGTCCTTTTATGTGTATCTGCAGCCTTGTCAGAACTGTCCTGCAGGAGCTCCTCACAGGGCACAGAAGGTGGGGCCAACCTTTCTCAGTCCCTGTTTTATGTTCTGAAAACTCCTTCCATGGGCGTTTGGAGACAGGTGTGTGTTGAGGGGTGGGAGTGTTGAAGACAAGCCCACAGGCCACAGCCTACCTTGCTCAGGAGGAAATGGGAGCTTTCCAGCGTGCAAGGCCAACTCCAAGGCCGAGTCCTCCTGAGTGACGAACGGCTCGAGATTCAGGGGGAGGGACATGATGTACTGCCCGATCTGCAGCAAAAGAGAGGACTTTCAGTCTGACGCTGACATACACAGCTCATCATGTGAAGGCAGAGGTCTGAGATACAAAACTGGCAGAAACAAGACCTGCCCATCTCTCCAGTGAATGGGAATACTGGTTATGTCAGCATCTTTAAAAACAAATAATAACACACACACACACACACACACATACACCTCAGTGGTAGTTTGCATGTAGATTACAGATTCAGCCTCTAACAGCCTAGTATTTTTGGAATGCATTCAATATAATCTCTACCTCAAATGACCTAATGAACACCAAAGTGCTTTGCAAAAGGTAACTGTTGGTGACTGAAATCAGCAAGATATTAAGAGCAGGCTCTTCACGGCCAAGCTAGAACCCAAGCCCTGTCTTCTGAAAGTGGCTCTGGTTCTCAAACATCTAGGTGGTGATTTAACCAGGGGAAGGAAGGAACTGCATTGGGAAAAAGTCATTTATAATTATAAATTAATTTGGGAGGAGAACTATATTGTTTTTGTAATACAAATCCTCAACACAGAAGACAACAAAACCTTGGCTGATGGGGAGTCACAGAGGCTGGGTGAGAGGATGCTGGACCCAACCCCTCCCGTGGGCAGGCACCTGCCAGGCACACACGATCTCCATCAGGGTATACTTTACACACCCATTCCCGTTACCACCCATAACTGTGTTGTGTTCCGGGGAACGTATATGTTTTAGCTTAAAGGAAGGTTTGATTTTCAGTCCACAAGAGTGTAACATTAAAAAAAAGTGCTCTTTGAGCCTGCTGCAGCTTTTCTGCTACATATTCATTCCACTCCATTCATCCCAGGTTAGACGTGATGCTAATTCAAAGTCAGAGAACTAACACAGTCAGGTCTGGTCTTCTCAAGCTGGCCTCATGCATCCTCAACAGTGGCAGGTGTTAGACCCAGATGCTGTTGTTAGATGCTGTCGAGTCGGTGCTGACTCATGGCAACTCCATGTACAACAGACTGAAATGCTGCCTGGTCCTGGCCATCTTCAAAATCACCGCTGTGCCCGAGCCCTGCTCGGCCCCATGCATGCAGCGTGCCTTCCTCCTAGGGGCTCAGCTTCAGCCCGATCCCAGACAGTGTTCCGTTGGGATCCACAAGGTTTCCATTGACTAACTGTTGGAAGAGGATCCCCAGGCTTTCCTCCCAGTCACTCTTAGTCTGGAAGTTCCACCGAAACCTGTTTTCTGTGGGTGACCTTGTATCTGAGATACCGCTGGCATAGCCTCCAGCATCACAGTAACATGCAAGCCACCAGAGCATGACGGGCGGGGGGTGGCAGACCGAGGCACAGGGGTCCATAAAAAGGAGCAAATGTTTACCTACAGGGACTCAAGCATGCTCAGATGCCTGGAGCAGCTCCACAGCCACTGGTGCCAAACATAGCAGTTGTCATCCATATGCCTGGCTAGAGTCCAAAAGTTCGGTCCCCCCACCCCTTTTCAGAAGCTGAGGATGGTGACACTTTTCCAAAGACAGGTCCACATATATGTTAACGGACAGGTTCAGGTTTTGCTGAAAAGTGCTAAGTGATGATGACGTGTGTTCCTCTCACTAGAATGACACCTGAGCCAAAATGACGTAGGCCGTGTTTTCAACAGGGGCAACTTCCATCCTTCCTGTGATCCCGTGTGGCACTTGGGGCTGGATTCATAGCTCCTGGTGCTCGGCTCCCTGGCCTGGGTAGCCAGGACACTCTTTGAGGCAAGGCCCAAGCTCTGATGGTCCCTCACGAAGTAGCTGCCTTGTGAGCACGGTGACTTCGGGCCATGCCTAAAGTCTCTGGAACTAATAAGCCAAACTGAAAAAATGACTGGTGAGTATGCCAAACACGCCCCAGCAACGCTAGGGCTATATCCAGAGTTCTGACCAGAATCCAATGAAAAGACAGCAGTGTGAGGGGCGGACTTCTAACACTGACCTCCGCCTTGAGATCAATGGGATTATCATGTGGAAAACAGTGGGGTCAAATGCATACAGCTTACCCTGGCTCTGGGAAGATCGGGATGCCTACACTGAGTGCTCCTGTTCCTAACAAGGCCCATCCATTTGCACTGATGTAGAAGCTTAAAGACACATCTACTCAACTTCAGGACAACCCAAAAAGACTGCTTCAAACTCTCAGTGCCTTAGTTTCCTCATCCATCTTACAGAGCTGTTATGAAGATTATTTTTCCTACAACCATGCCAGGCCTATAGTAAGCATCAGGTAAGCGTTGTTGTTGTGTTAGGTGCTGTCGAGTCAGATCCGACTCATAATGACCCTGTGTACATCAGAATGAAACACTGCCCGGTTGAGTGCCATCCTCATAATCCTAACTATACTTGAGCCCTTCGATGCAGCCACTGTGTCCATGTGTTAGCTCTAATTGTGATCAGTGAGTGTTAGCTGTGACTGTTATCACTCAGCCAATCACCCTCTTGTTTGCTCATGTCCTAGGCTTCCCAGCCCCTTGGCTGTCCTGCTTGCTCCCCTCTGCACGAGCTCCATTCTATCAAATCCCTCTTACACAGCGTGGTGTCCAGAAGTTAACACAGACCCCAAAATCTACCCCACCCAGAGGACCACATGAGAATTACACCTTCTCCAAGCGTTTAGCATGTTTTGGTGGTAGTCAGTCTAACTGCTGTCTGGTTCATCTTGGTGGTAGGAAGTCTGAATGCTGTCCGGTTCATCACACTAACAAAGTATTATTAGGTTGTGCTCTAAGAGGTCCACAGGCGGTAGAAGAAATTAAATCAGCATTCTTTGTTTCCTTTCACTGATTCAGTACAATCTTTCCACTTACACTAGACAAGGAGCCATGTAAATCAGTTGCCGTTGAGTTGATCCTGACTCATGGTGACCCCACGTGTGTCAGGGCAGAACTGGGCTCCGCTGGGTTTTGTTTTGTGTGATGTATTTTGTTGTTGCTGTTGTTGAGTGTATCCACTGAAGAACATACACCAATTCAACAGCTTCTATACGTGCACCGATTACATTCTTTGAGTCGTGCAACCATTCTCACCCTCCTTCTCTGAGATGTTCCTTCCCCGTCAAAATGAACTCATTGCCTCCTAAGCTTCCTACCTAATCTTTCAAAGTGCTGTGTCGATCTGATCTTACACAGTAGGTCTGAAAAGAGCACACTGCTCAAGCAGGCATTCTTTACTAGGTGAGCTAAACTACTGTCTGGTTTTAAGGAGACTTGAGGGAAAATCCTTGGTTTAAGGGTTAAAGATTATATCAGGACAATAGTTCTGGGAGTTTGTCCAGTATCCCTGGCTTCAGAAAGACTAGATTCCATGAGAATTTGAAATTCTTATCCACACTTCCCCCCTTTTGATCAGGATTCTTCTCTCGCATCTTTGATCAAAATGTTCAGCAATGGGAGCCAGGCACCATCCAGTTCTTCTGGTCTCATGGCCAAGGGGGCAGTGGTTCATGGAGACAATGACCCACACATTCCACATCCTCCTTCTGTTCCCGATGCTCGCTCTTCCTTGGTTACTCCAGGTGAATGGAGATCACCCATAGGGTTTTCAATGGCTGATTTTTAGGAAACAGATCACCATTTACCTCACTAATAACCACTGCACCTTTCAGCTGGAAAAGAGCAAAAAATTCATCAGTTTCCACGAGGCTGGGGGAAGAGAAGGATGCTAGTTTCTGGAGTTGGAATTTCTCCATTCGACCTCCATTCAGCACTCACTGCCTGCACACCGACTGTGAGTAAAGACCGTGGGTATCTCCCAGGATTTGGTACACCTTTCAGCTGCAGTTATGACTACAGATTTTGGCTAAATCGACAGTCCCGATTTTACTTGAAATAAAGCATTATCATCATTACACCTTGCATGACTGTTTCTCAAAGCCTTTTCTGATCTTTCATCCCTCAATAATTCTCACACAGTTCTGTGCAGCTGAAGATACTCATCAACAAACCAAAGTGTCAGTTAGGTGCAAAATTTCAATAATCTCTTATCCCAAATTTCAACTAATTGGTCTTAGATTGTGGAGTTGCTGCAGCTCCTAGACAGACTCTAGGCTCCAGGTCTCTTTCCAGAGTTTGGCAGATATTTATATTTTAGAAATCAATTTGGAAAGAGATGCATATCATCATGCCAGCCGTAGTGTTTGTCTACTGTTCTCACACATTCAGTAAATGCTTCTTGATATGGTATTTGGCTAAGCCTGGTGAGGCACTGGCTCTACCACTGTGTGACCCTGGGCACCTTCCTTCCTCTGTCTGGGTTGTGCTTTCATCAGCTCTAAGATGAGGATGACCTCACACTTACACTGAAGGGCTGAGGTGAGGACAAGATGACACACTGAGTGATACATACTACATGATATGTATCTGGAATCCTGAGTCATGGAGCAGCTACTAAGAAATGTTTCTTTCCTGTCCCTCCCATTCCTGAGCTTCAGTGCTCACCTGGGAAACGGCCACTTGGCTCACAGAGTTGTTGGTGAGCTGAAATACAATACAGACCATGCACTGTCTATAGGCACCAATATAAGCCTGGTGCTGTCCTTGCATACAGTGAGTGTTCAGGTTCTCCAGTGCTGCTTTAAAAGAAAGTACCACAAGTGGGTGGCTTTAATAAACAGGGTTTTATTCTCTTACAGTTTCAGATACTAGAAGTCTGAGCTCAAAGTGCCAACTCTAGGGTCTGGGTGAAACCTCAACCTTGGGCTTTAGCTCTGCCTCTTGCTCCTGGCCCACTGGAGCTGGAGGCTTCTCGTAACTCAGGCAGCTGCTGGCTGCTGAGGCTGAAAAACCCAAGGTCGACAAGTAAAATGGCACAGTCCCAAGACTATCAAGCAACACAGCAGTTCAAGTCCAGAAACAGTCCCAAGATTGGAAGACAACATGGGAGGCCACTGAGATGAAGACTCGGCTACATGCAGGGTCCAAGCTTGCCATAAAACTGCAGAGACCTTTCTCAAAGTTATCTTCTTACATACAGGAGGCAGCCCACATCCCTAAGGCAGCTACTCAGCTGCTCCAGTAGATTCCTCCATGGAGCTGATTACCAGTCTCATCATGGGGAATAACTACATCCAGCTGCCCAGACACTCAAAACCAGGCCCGGCCAAGTTGACACATAACCTTAACTATCACAGTGGGTATTCAATAAATGTTGCTTTCCTGAATTTAGGTCATCAGCCCTCAGGTACAATGATAACTATGACTTGTGAGGGTCACAGGAAGTAGGAAAGGGCCCAAGCCAAGAAACACATCCTGGCTTTCTTTACTTCTCTTCATTTCAGTGTCCTCAACTTTAAAATAAACTCGATAAACTCTCAAGTCCGTCCAAGACTGTCATTTTCTGAACTAATTTAGATTGTACTGCAAATTGCCTCAAGTCAAAAAATGAGATGATTCCCACTGGCTCTGGAAGGCTGACCCACATCTTACCAATTCCGTCACAAGAGGGTACTGAGTGACGCTCTGGGAAGCAGCACAATAATGACTGACAGACTTGCCGCTGCTCCTAAAGGGTGGAGAGCGGCCATCTGTCCTCCTCTCTGCTTGCCAGGGACCACCACATGCTGCTGAAGGACACTGACTTTCTAAATTCCTTTCTGTCTCCCACAGCAGAGTCCCATCTTACATGGGGAGAGGTTCTAAGGTGAGTCAATAAGGCAGAAACTGCCTATCTCCAAATCACCCTTGAAAATGTCAGCAGTCTCTCCTACTAAGGGGTACATGTGGTTCGGGTTATATTACTCCTGGACAGTATTTCTTATGCACTCGGAACTTCCAGAACAGCTAGGCTGGCAGGAGGAATGAAAGGAATGGCCATGTCTAGGCAGTCAAATCCCCTGCCTTTGTAAGACCATCAAATCCCCAGGGGTGCGTGGGGAAGAGGAAAAGGACCCCAAGTGCTCTGCTGTCCTGCAAAGTTCGCCACATCTCTTTAGGATTAAGGCTCTGTAACCACAATTCTCAGGAAGATATTCGTCATGACACAGTTCGACTCTGTACAGGGGAGGGGGTGGTCACCCCAAGTCAGAAGCTACCCAACAACAAATCCACCTGAAAGCACTCAGCGCAGGGCCAGCCACACAGCAGGTGCTCGGGAAAAGCTTGCTGAATTTGAGTTCAGAACCACATCCACACTGTTCTTATCAAAGACCATTGAGAAGAGTCTGGCCCCTGCTTCCTGTCTTCCCAAGCCAGAAGTTGCTAGGGGACCCTGGCTCTCATGCACTTAGGTAGTGGCCACATCTTATATTAGGAAAAATGGTGGGGTGGATGCCAGGGCGTTAGGTTCTGAAGTCGCCATGTGGCTCTGCCCTTGTACTTAAAGCCACCCAGGAAATGGCTGCAGACTGTCCAAAAGCAAAGGCCAGGCACAGCACAGGTGGAGGACTGACTAGGTTACCTAGCAGAGCCACAGTTAAAAGAGAGGCTGAGATCCGAAAGGCCAGAGCCCGCACAAGGGGCCGCACAGAGCAGCCGTCTTACGTTGCTGATGTACTCCAGAGGGGTGAGGCTGAAGGTGGGCAGGTCGTCTGTCAGTGTTTCGCCAATGCCGGCTGTGCTCCAGCTCTAGGAAGGAAGGAGAAGCAGCATCAACAGCACGGCAGCCAGGCAGCACGGAGTGCCAGGCACGTGCCAGGGGCAGCAGCATGACAGGGCAAGCACAGCCTTCCCCACCAGGCAGCTTCTCCGTTCAGAGCTGGCCTTCAGAGCCACCCCACTCAGACACCAGCAGGCTCTCGCTCTTTGAAATCATAAATTTGAAGCCCACTATGAAGACTCCCCCTTCCTTTCTCAGCATCCCTGCAGATCCACAGGAGGGACAGAGGCATCCCCTCGATCTCACTCAGAACATGTACTGATGAGTCAGATAAGCCCATGGCCCGAGTTTCTCTACTGGAGGAAGGGGACTAGTCAAAAATGTTAAGTCCCTGGGTGCCGGTAGCCTCACTCACTCTCGGGTCTTCAGCACCCTGAGAACAGGACCCTCAATAGCCCTTCACAGAGACCACACATAATACCCACATCTTGGGGAAAAGGTTTAGGAAGTCCATTCTGGCTTTTTTGTTGTTGTTATGTGCTGTTGAGTCTTTGCCTAAATTAAAGCTCCTGCTTGAACATCTGCCTGCCTATGGATCTACTTCTGAACTGATTTAGAACTTCAAAGGTAAGGAGCCTGTATCTCTGCTGTCATTTGAAAGTGAAAACATCTACAGGATCCCAGTGTGAACCTTCCAGTATCTGTGTGAAGCGAGGAGAATTATCGGTATGCATGTGGCTACAGACCTCACTCTGACACACCTGCACCCAGAAATCGAGTTTCTTAATTCCAACCTGAGTCACCCCAAAGCCAGCTTGGAAAGAAGGTCCTTTGGTTGAACACCTGCTGTGACTCTGAGGTCTCCCTGTAGCTGTACCTTGCAGCTACCTGATGCCCGATCTGGCCACTTGATCCCTTGAGCAGCATTCCAAGAATGTAAAGGCCGTGTCCAGCCCTGGGCTTAGGCCGCGCCTCTGCAGCCCTCCCCACGCTCTCCAGCACCAACTCAACCCTGCCACATTCTGCGCTATGCCAAGTTCTTCTCTTCCCCACCCAGCCCCTACTGCTTCCTAGAATCCTTGTTCTTGTTGGGAGAATTCCCTCTTGCTTCAAAATATCCTAATTTTCCTCCAGTTACATCCACTGAGAATTAACGTTTCCAACCATTTGCATGGGGTGCCTCGCACTAGGCTCTGTGGACAGGACACAGAGCAGGAAGTCTGAGCCTCACGCTCCAGGAGTCTCATGTGCGGGACAGACGCCCCTCATAGCCCCGCCCTATACACATGCACACTTCCCGCCTTATCCCTTCCTCCTCCCGCCACACATGCATGCACACACGTGGGCTTCAACTTCAAGAGTTGCCAGTGTCAGCTGCAAGGTTTATACGAGAAGATTCAAAGGGAAAGGGCTCAGCGTGACTAGAGAAGGGAACAGACACAGGGCACAGGAGAGGCAGAAAGGAGGCTGGGAAGAAGAAGCACACAGCTTTGAACACCATGCTAAGAAACGGGTTTATCATCAACAAACCAATTGCAGGGAGTAAAAGAGAGGTGAGAGGGAGACCTGAGGCTGAAGAGAGTCACAAAAGACCCATCAGCCACTCCCCACAGGCAAAACTTACACAGACCCTGATTCACACCATTCACATACGTCATGACACTCCCCACAGGCAGAACTTACACAGACCCTGATTCACACTGTTCACATACGTCACGACACTGATGACACAGTGGGACATTTGATCACTGATGGATGCTATTGAGGAATCAGCTTTAGTTTTCCCCTCTAGGGGTGATTGTGGGATCGTGACTTTATCTGAGAGTCTCTACATTTTAGAGAAGGGGTCTATCTGAAACAGGACAACCAGGAGTTGATAGCTGCTAAAGCGGGGTGATAAGGACATGGGGTTCATCCAGCTCTTCTCTCTACTCGGGCACAGGTGTGAACATATCTGTAACAAAAAGTTTTCAAAAACACACTATCCTGGCCCAGGGGAGAAAGGGACGGGTCTGAATGGGGAGAGGAAAGTCAGAGCTGGGCTTTAAACTCACTGCCGTTGAGTCAGATCCGACTCACAGTGACCCTTCCTCGGGTTTCTGAGCCGGTATCACTACTGAAGTAGACTGTCCAACCTTCCTTCCGCAGAGTGGCCGGTGGGTTTGAACTGCCAGCCTTCTGGTTAGCAGTCAAGTGCCTTAGGCACTATGCTACCAGAGGTGCAACAGCACAACTCTTCAGGGAACGAAGGGCTGGGAAGGGCAGATGAAGAGTTCAAAGATGAGGAGAATCCAAAGCAGGACCATGCCCATGGAGATAGATGAGAGACATTTAAGAGGAAAACAAAACCTAGTAGCTAATTGGCCAAGAACTAGTCCCTGGGTGGCACAAATGGTTTGCACTTGGTACCAACCAAGGCTGGTGGTTTGATCCCACCCAGTGGTGCCACAGAAGAAAGACCTGGCAATCTGTTTCCCTAAAGATTAAAAAGCAAAACAAAAACAAATTCACTGCCATCAAGTTGACTTCGACTTCTAGCAACCCCCACAGGGTTTCTAAGGCCATAAATCTTTACAGAATCAGATTGCTTCATCTCTGTCCCATGGAGTAGCTGGTAGGTTCAAACTGCCGATCTGCTGATTAGTAGCCCAATGCCTTAACTACAGAGCCATCAGAGCGCCTAAAGGAGCATAGTTTATTCTGTAACACATGGGATCAGCATGAAACAGAATCGACTCAACAGCAATGGGTTTGCTTTGGGGGTTTAACTGGCAAAGGGGGTGCCCAAAGGGAGCAGAGATGGTGCTGGGCAAGGAGCAGAGTGGTGGGAGGAGCGAGGGCTCCTGGGAGACAGAGACCAGTATCACGGGGCAGGACAGGAGCAAGGAGGGACCTGTGGGGCCAGGAGGAGCGAGGGCTCCTGGGAGACAGAGACCAGTATCACGGGGCAGGACAGGAGCAAGGAGGGACCTGTGGGGCCAGGAGGAGCGGGGGCTCCTGGGAGACAGAGACCAGTATCACGGGGCAGGACAGGAGCAAGGAAGGACCTGTGGGGCGAGGACAGGCATCACCAGAATCCATCCAAGGACAAGCTCTATGGGCTGGAGGCCCTGGGAGAGCGTTCAGAGGAACAACATTGGGAACCAGCCATGTGGAGGGCAGCGGGAAGAACAGCCAGAGTGGAAACGGAGCCTGGGGTCAGGGTAAGACAGAGCCGTCAGGGCCTGTGGAAGGGCTTAACCAGCAAGCCCACAAGGTGGCCTGCACAGGGCAGCAGGGAAGGATGCAGATTACCTTTTCAATCATTCTCAATTTACTTAAAAACTCCTTCAAGTGGGCTTTTCTCTTCATCTGTCATCAGGCTACCACAGGTAAACTTCCATGATCTGTTCAGAAACTGAATACAGTGCTGGTTTACAGTGTAAAAGAAAAGGGCAATACGTTTGCCAGTAAATGTGAAAACAAACATTTAATGACCGGGTTGAATTTCCAAATCCTTACACCCTAAGTGTTTGCCTTTGTATCGTGAGCTGCTGGGCTGGCACCATGGGAGAGCGTTTCCTAATCTCCAGAGCCACCCAGATCCACTCCCAGCAGCCTCCCCGCACGAGGTGAGGCCAGAATGTGGGTGCGATCAAGCAGCGCAGGCCACAGGGGGAGTAATGTACCCCAGAATGCAGAAGTGGAGGCAAAGGGCAGGTGGGGAGCAAGGGGCCCATTTAAACACAGGACTAAGATGGAACAGCAGGGCCTGTGAAGGTTGCACAACACAAGGTCACTATGTCAAGCTTTAACAAAATGAAAATAATAAGAACCAAACCTGGGGGCAGGCGGGGACGATGAGTGAGATGAGCCATGCTGACCCCTCTCGCTTCAGACCAGGTCAGTCGCTGTCAGTATCTCTCAAACAGAGCATTGGGTCCATCTCAACAGTTTTCATAACCATTTTTCATAGCCTTGGAGACATATTTTGGGAACTACTGGACTGCTAACCAGAAAGTTGGCGGTTCAAACCCACCAGCCACTCCTCAGAAGGAAGGTTAGGCAATCTACTTCTGTAGTGATACCGCCTCGGAAACCCAAGGAGGGGTCGCTGAGTCAGGTTCAACTCAATGGCAGTGAGTTTGGTTTTTACTTTTTTTTTTTTTAGTTTATCTTATTTAGTGAAGGAACAGTTATCTCAAATTCAACAATTCCCTTGATTTCATTGTAGCTTCTTTTTTCTAGATAAATTCAACCAAAATTATATAGTATATACTTAGTTTTTAAAAAAAATATCTAACTACCTATTATCTGCGCCTATCCAACCTTCGACACGTGTGTGAGTGGGCATGAAGAGACGCCCTAAGTACAGGTCACCAAATGTTTATGCTGGTTATTTCTAGATGGTGAAATTTTGGAGAGATTTATTGCTTCTTTCATTGCATGAACTTCTGAAAATCAGTAACTGCCATTTTTATTTAAAAAATGAGAGGTCATTCCTCTTAAAAAATGAGAATCCTAAGAAGGAGGAAACCTGCCACTTATTAAGCCCTCTGGCAGGTGCGATACTAAATTCTATCCTATGTGTTGCCCAAAACCAAACCCACTGCCACTGAGTCGGTTCCAACTCATAGAGAACCCCACTGGGTTTCTAAGGATATAAATCTTTATGAAAGTAGATTACCTCATCTTTCTCCTGCAGAGCAGCGGATGAGTTTGAACTGACAACCTTCAGGTGAGCAGCCAAATGCCTTACCACTATGCCACCAGAGCTCCTTACCCTATGTGTTTAGTCCTCATAAATCTATATGGTGGGAATGACTACACCCCATTTTAAAGATGAGGAGACAGACAGAGGCTCATGGAGCAATCAGCAAGCTCAGTGGAGGGATCCAATGAGGCAACAAACAGAGGTGCCAGTGCAGCACCCACAGGCCACAGCTGAGCTATCGGTCATCATCATCATCAACAGCATCATTCCTGCTACACTGCATGGCAGCAGTGGCTCCCCAGCCTGACCTCCCTCAATAGCAGAAGTAAAAAACCT